ACCCTTCTTGTATATTCTGTAGCGTCTATTTTTCCTCAGTGTATGTCATGAAAATCAGGTAAGTGACTGCAATACTGTCAGTTCAGTGTGGCATCTACTTGCTGGTGTAGAACACTTGAGAACAGTAAGAACTTCTTGTCCTGTTCAAGGTACAGAGTAATTTCATTAGGCAGGTTATTTCAAAAACTGAAATGGATCTTAGGTTTGCAGTAGAACCACAGGAGGATGTTAGGCTGGAAGGGACCTCCAGAAGTCTAGTCCAACGCCCTGCTCAAAGCACGGTCCAGTTGAAAGTTCAATTGGGTCGCTCAGAGCTTTGTACGCGTGAGTTCTGGGAATCTCTGAGGAGAGATAACACATGCTCTTTGAGCACCTCTTCAAGTGTTTGGCCACTCTTGTAATTTTTTTCACTTTATATCTAATCTGAATTTGCTTTTGTGTAATTCATTACTATTGCCCCTCCTAATCTTGCTATGCACCTCTGAGAAGAGTCTGGCTCCACCTTCTCTGTAATGCCCCTTTAGGTAGCTCCTACTAATGTAGGCCAGTGTGTACTCAGCCTCCGTTGCCGCAAGGGAGCGCTACTGAACCGCGCTCAATCTGTCCCCCAAGACCCCCTGCTCCTTTGGTTTAGAGCTGCTCCTGGTCCTCAGGCCGTGCTCTTGCGTGGGGTTGTTCTGCCCCATGTGCAGGATTATCACTACTGAACTTTCCGAGGTTCTTGCTGGCCCGTTTCATGGGTTTGTCACAGTCCCTTTCAGCGGCAGCAGTAGCCTCCAGCATATCCACTGCTGCCTCAGTTTAGTGTTGGCTTCAGGTGTGATGAGGATGAACGTCCCATTGTCCAGGTTGTTGATGCAGGTGTAGTTACCAGTCTTGGCCCCAGTATGAACCTGAGGAACGCAGCTCATAACAGCTACTGGTTAGACTTTGAACCATCAAATCACTGTTCTTTGAGCCTGGTGGCCCAGCCAGCTTTTGCTCACTCTCTTAGTTTACCCATAAAATCCACAAGCCCCCAGTTTGGCTCCAAGGATGCTGCAGGAGACCAACTGGAAACCTTTGCTAAAGCCAAGGTAAAGAGCATCCCCTACTCTCCCTGTCTGGGCGTCCCAGCGTAGCAGGCAGCGAGGCTGCTCAGACGAAATCCGCCTGCAGTAAACCCATGCTGGCTGTTCCCAGACACCGCATGCCTGGAGATGGCTGTCATGAAAGCCTGTCCCGTAATCTTACCAGGAGTTTTGGTAAGACTGATGAGTGTACTGATAAGCACCGATCCTCCTTATTTCAAGGATTTTGGTTTGTGTGATGTTGTTTTTTCTCATGTTTCTTTTGGTCCGTCAGGACTGCAGTCAGTGTCTGTGAGTTGCTATTGAGCCAGACCACCATTGCTAGAACAGAGGCAGCCACGCTAGCCACCTGGCATGGTTAATACACGGAATGGAGTAACTTCAGGAGAAAGGCTTCCACCTCTTCTTGCCTCTATAAATTTTTTTGTTCCACTTACCTGTCATATTACAGCTGCCCTTGCTTGGTCTCACTTGTCATTTTATGTCTGTCTAAATGTCTTTCCTAGCAATTACATGGGGGTGGGCAATTCACAATTCTTCCACTTAACTGCATTTTTCTTCTGCTTTGACAAAGAAAACCTTTCACTGAAATGAAATGCAAATACATTCATAAATTCTCAGTCCTGCTTAGAATCAAGCCATGTATGGATGAGAATACTGTTTTTATCTTTTTCCAGCTCCTTTTATCTGGACATTAAAGCACTGCAGGATATTTAACCAACTGCCCCAACGGCCCTCTAAAATAAGTTAGATTTTCTTTAGTTTGTCTGTGGGCAAGGGGCAGGGAAGTCCTTTGGGTTTGTCCCCACAGTGAGCAATGAAATGTGAGACTGAGGAAGCTGGGTGGCTTTCTGTTACCACGTCCCCAGTTCTGTGAGATGCCGGTGGTGCTGTGGTTGGGTCTTTGTAATGGACACAAATTGGTTTTGTGAAGGGTTGTTCTTGTTGCTAAACACCTGTGTGTCTCGTCCACTCTTGACTATTGCTGGAGACTGCTTTCACTAGGTGTAAGTTAATTCCTCCTGTATCCCAAGTTTCTGCCACAGTAAGAGAATTTCATCTGGTTCCTCAAGGCACATTAATTTCGTATACACATCCCAAAAGAATTCATCTTATGCCCGTTCCACTCTGACCAACCCTTTCAAGGCCAAGAGGTTAAATTGTGTTGCCTTCAGAGCTTGTCTGTGGTGTTCTGTAGTGAGCTCAGACAGATTGCTACAGAAATGTTTCTTACTCTTCTCCCTCCCGTGGGTGTAAGTCACTGATTTCTAGCACTATTGGCTCTCCCAGGAACTATTAGTCTTGAACGTTAGTGTAGAATTTTATAATAGAACTCTACAACTGTTAGAAATTCAGTCTTTTCTGCCTTTCTTGACATCAGGAGCCTAGCACTAACCCACTTTTTAGTTGTTCATGCTTTTTAAACCTAGACTAACTGGGTTTCTTAGGAGTAAGCAATGAAAGGTTTGGAGACACATGAGTGTTCTAAGCTTCTGATAACAGTGATAACATTTGGATTCTGGTTCTCAGCTCTGTGTGTAACTAGCCCTCCAGGCTTCAATTCCTTCATTAATACCTGGAGATAATACATACATAGTAGAGTGTAATTTCGTGAATGTTGTGAAGTGCTTTGAGAACCCCACATCAAAAGCTGCAGGCAGGAAGGGCAGTATTATTATTCTGTTCTATGCAGAGGCCAACAGAAAGGAAATGTACTGCTCCTGGCAAAGCAACTTCTTGTAACCAGCCCTATCAAAATGCTGCCATAGTCCGGAGGTGCAGGAAATGGAGTGAAGAGAATGACAGTATATTATTAATACACTGAAGGCTCTTTTTCTAACCAGTTAATTTAGTTTTGTGAGGTCTGAGAGATATGCTGGCAGGAAGCTTTTTCAGTGCTTTTATTACCACTTTCATAAAGCCACAAGGCAGGTTTGTATCCTACTGAGACTCCTAGCCTTGCGTCTTCCTTTCTCATCTATTTTTGTCTCTGTTTAACTTGATATGACCGAGAAGTTCAAAGAGACACAAAACCTTCAAAACCTTGAAACCTCCTTTTCCTTTGTTCCTCCTATACCCTTATCTCTCTTTGTATGTGAACTTTGTGTTGGTGAGTCGTTCTGAATTGGCAGTCTGCGAGAGTCCCTTGATTCTCAGAGTAGGTACAATGCAGATTAATAGCATCTTCCCATCAGACACTCTTCCATCAATACCATCGGCCCTGGCCTGGAAGGAAACACCCCTGGGGTGCTAGGGAGAAAATTCCAGTGAAGAATCCTGTTAGCACTCAGGTGATGGCAGATCTTATGTCAAGGACTTTTGTCTGTTAAGATACAGACCAAATCAATCCATTACATCTCTACTAACCCTCTTATTTGGACTTCTGCTTGAGCTCTGCCCGAGGTGTCTGGCTAAATGGATGTGCAGACTAGCTACATGTTTATTTTTTGTTGTTAATTAACACTGACTGCAAAGTATTTGCAGCCAGCAACGAGCAGTTTGGGATGTAATTCGACTTTCATACCACTGAGTATTACTATACTAAAATGCAAAGATGGATACAACCAGACTTACCTGGAAATAAGGATGAAGCAAAGGAGGGGACAGCTCACATTACTAGAGACTTGCTCAGCCCGTGGCCTGCTCTCTGCTGTTCATGGCACTGAAGTAGCAATAAGAAGACAGTATGAGTTCAGAGGCAGTGACAAGGCTAGTTTGAAGTCTAGAAAAACTAGGCCAGAGTTACTTTAAATTTGCAGAGTTCAAGAGAAAAATCTTGTTGAATCAATTTTACTTCAAAGCAACTGGCTTTCCAAGTTTTACTCCTTTGCTTGTAACCAATACACTTGACACAGATGTGTCCTTTACTGTCATTTTTCACTTGGACCAGCGTTGGCTGCCCTCCTTGCCTTCTACCTTATGGCCACCATATGTTTGTACTAAAAAACCTAATAGGTTTTAACTTAACTCTTCAGACCTGTTAACAGATTTCATCAGTTTATATGCAAAGCCAGTGGTGGTATGTCTAAGTTGTTTTTTCAGTGCCTCCGACCCCTGTCCTTTGCTCTAGTTACAGAAAAATCAGGGAAATGCCTAATCATACTTTCTCCCCACCCCCTCCCTTCTTTCTCTGTGGTCAGGTTTTATTTTCATACCCAACCCTTTCCTTCCGGGCTGCCAGCGTCACTGGGTGAAGCAGTGTCTCAAGCTCTACCCCCAGAAACCCAATGTCTGCAACCTGGACCTGCACATGGCTCCTGAGAAGACCACTGACCTGTGGGGACAGAGCAAGGAGCAGCTGAGGTAAGTCCACAGTAACTTGTGGTCAAAACTTCTAAAAACCAACCAGAAAACCTAAAAAAATAACTTGCATGGTCAAAGCTAACAGAGTCAGAAGGTCTCAGCTCTGAGGTCTAAGAGGATGAGCAGGGAAGGGAAGCTGACAGAGATGGTGTACGTGCTGGCAGTACACAGAAGGTGTCAGACATGCCAGCTCGGAGACGGATTTTTCATGGCTTGATGCGCATCCTTGCTAATTCTCTGCTTTCACACTCTCAGTGGGATTTTCTGGTAGCAAATGATTCCAAAGCCATCAGATAAATGTAAGATAGTGACCCTGGCTGATCCCACGGTGCTCAGAAGCTTGCTAAGCTCAGCTACAAGTGAAACCATGAGATCCCTCTAGGCTTCGGTTTTCCTGAGGCAAAAGGGTTCCTTTCTAAACACCCCACTCATGCTACCTCCTTTTCCCAGTCAGCTGTCGCACCAAGTATGCTGTAACTGAAAGGCTGTTAGCTGCGCTTCTTTGAACTTTTTAAGTCAGCTTGTGTGTTTGTTTTCTAAAGTATTTCTTTGTTTTGTTTTGAGTTTGGGATTTTTTTTTCATTCAATCTGAGATAGAGATGAAATGTACCATGGTAATGGAAAACCTGTTTGCTCCGAAAGATTCCCTCAGGTTCCGAGTTCTGTGGCTGATGCAGCTGCTTTTCCTCTACCTGATTGGGTAGTTAATGGAGAATTTGTCCAAGTTTTGAAGTCAAGGAGAAAGTTTTAAAGTCCAAATTTGAGAGACCTTTTTTTAATTAATCACTTGTAAAAATGCATACAAGACAGGTGCACAGTACACAGTCTTTTAGTTATTTGTGTGTTTATCAGTACCTTGTTGATTTCATTGCTCATCTTTCATAACGATTGTTTCATGTGGTGGAGTGATCAGAGTTCCTTAGAACTCTCATCTCCCACCCCAGTTTCTTAGTAAAATTGACATGCTGAGATTATTCTTCAGAAATACTCCAAACATCTTCAAGACATGGAATGGCAAAAGCAAGATTTGGACTTCTAAATATTTTCACCTAGGAGAGATGTTATACCCCTACTTGTGTTTTCCATGCTCAGACAAAATTAGTTACAGAAATTCAGACACCTTTTTGGTGTTCTATCAAGGGTGACCAATTTTTCTTTGCAAGTATTGTGCATTGTGCCTTATGGCTGAAAAAAGTGGGTACTGTTCCAGCGTGCCAGGCCCTTCCCAGCAGCACCTCCTGCGTGCAGAGAATGATCAGGACACAGGTTAATTTGCAGCTAAATCTGGTTCAGTTGTAAACAGTGTTTGGAAGAGTAATGTCTGGTAGAAATACTGGTGGTTTTATTAAGCACTTGCATGAGTCTTCAGGTGAGCAAGCTGCTGAATTTGGGCTTTTAGGTAGGGGAGAATGGGTCAAACTAGCCAACTTGTCTAGTACCTGGAGTCGGGAGCCTTTCAGGGAGGGGAGAAACAGAGAGCTTAACTAAAGAGGCCTACTTCCAAAAATGGACACGACTTTAATGCTTTTTAAAGCCATCAGGAAGATGCATAAAAGTGTTAGGGTTATGACTTAACCTGCTTTTTTCAGGATGCAGGAATCGCACAGTAGGGAGGAATCACATGAAAAATACTACGTTCTGGGAATAAGGATCTACTGAGTGTATTGGGATTCCTGTGTTGTGCAAACATTTCAGCACTGTAGTACAAGAAGGGCACTTTCAAAAGGCATGTGCCAAAAATGTGTAATTATAAACATTAAGTGTGTCAATTGAAAGATGTAGAGGAACAAGTTGTGGGCTCTCCCTTTCCTAAATGCTGTGTTACCTGCTTGTAGGCTCCACAAATTGTTCCAAGCAGCATGCATTTGATAGTTACTGTGTTGCTACATTACGGTAATTGCAGTTGCCATTACCCTATGACAGAGATGGAAACTGGAAAGATGGCTTTCTTTCAGCAATCGGTGAGCTATGAAAAATTCCTAAAGATAAAGAAACTGGCCTTTTACTTCTGTTCCTGGTTTAGGTTAGGAGCTGTGAGTACGGTATAGGTGAAGGGCAGAAACAAGCTGTGTCTCCAGGGAGAAATGCACATTAAATGCAGATGCTTGGCTGCAACTTGGCCATGGCAGCACAGATATGAATCCTGTTTTGTAAAAGAGAGCATGTCTTACCAAGCTAATGAGGCTATAAATGAGAGCCAGCCATCTGGTGCTACTGTTTATCATGATGTTCTGAATATGCTTCCCTTTGCTTCCTTTCTTTACCATAACACATGACTTACCTTGAGAAAAGAAACTGTAGTAAGTGGAGGAGAAGATGGAACCAGAGAATCATAGATGATTGTAGTAAGTGGACTAGAATTTTGTATTTGTCACTAGCATGTTTCTATCTGATTTACTAAAATAATACGCTTTGTAACTTTTTAAGGACTTTTCTATAGGCCATAGTAAAAGCCCATCCCTGAGGCCTCTTGCTGCCTTCACCACCTTTGAGTAAGAATGGCAAATTGGCACGTGGCTTCAGACCACCAAGTCCATCTGCATTAGGGCTGTCCCTTGAGAAGAACAGATTTCAGTCCTGCATAGCAGTCTGGAAAGGACACAGCTGCAGTCTAGACTTCCTGACATTACAAGAAGTCATAGCTAGAGCAGTCTTGCTTCTTATTGAACACAGAATCAGTCAGTCCTAAGGACTTCTTGCAAAAGTACCAAGTAGAAGGGCTAACGGTCCTTAGCAGCACTACGCAGCTTGATATGCTTCACTGTCAGGGGAAGCATCTTCCTTGCTTGTCATTTTCCATTAAGTGCCTAGAATATTTTTTCCCTGTGTTTGCAGCTTTTAGTTCTTCACAGATCCTGTTCTTTTACTTTCAGATGCTCAAATAGCACATGCTTAATTCTGACTTCTAAGTCTGCACCAGTTCATTGTGTTGTCTCCCTCTGATAACCCATTATGTACCGTCTTGAAAATACATGCTTTCAAACTGACAGCAGTTGGCAGTAGACCCTACAGCTTGCATAAATTGCATAAACTGCATTTTCGAGGTCTTTTTTGAGGAAAAAATAATGGCACTGAAAAAAGTTTAGCATTGGTGATTTTAATAGGCTGTCATACGGATGAGTGAATCTCATTACTGTATGCTGCCCTACCAGAAAACCCCTCAGAAATTAACAAGTCCTATTCCTTTCTATTTTGTCTTTGCAGAAGGAAAGGTTCCAGTAAATGGGAGCCCAGAAGCTTGTTGGAGAAGCTGCGCTGGGTGACCCTTGGTTACCATTATAATTGGGGTACTAAGGTATTGAAATTAACTTCTCCATTTTTCTTAGCTGTAAGCTCTTAGAATGGCAGACAGAGGAAGGTATCAGGGAATAAAATGCTTGTGATCCTACAAGGCAGCCTTGAGGAAAGGCTGTAACAAACTCTGCTTGTAAGAACATTTTAATCTGTATTAGTTTACTGTGAAAGATTTAACAGCAAAAGACCATTGCTGCATTCTTTCCATGGAAAGGCAACACCAAAGCATATACTCAGCTCTAGACCTGTGACTATTTTGGTGTAAGTGAGCATTTTTACTCTACCAAGAGGGACGGTCACAAAAGCTTCGTTAACTAGTGAAGGTGAGAATGACCTTGAGTCCTTGAAGAGAGCTGCTTCTGAGAAACTACTCCTTTTTGGAGGGGTGAGCAAGAGCAGGCAGGCTGCTGCTGATGTGACTTTGAACCGTATAATACAGTCTCGCCAACTAACAGCTATTCTGGCACTGCTGCTGAACATAAACTTTTGTGTAGGGCTGAGTCAGATGGAGGCTAAGAAAGGGTGGCAGAGGGAATGTCACTGTATTGTAGATACTTACCAAATCTGCTTGCAGCCTTATACTTACCAGGTCAGCCTATTATTGGGTGGCCTAAATGAAAACTTGGTTATTCACTTCCAATCCTCTCAGATTTGCTCGTGGGAGAGAGAAAAAGTAGGTTTGCAATTGATTCCTGTTTGTCTTATGCTCCCAAGAAGGCACAGAGATGCTTGTTTCAGAGCTCTGTTGATGAGATACGGAACTGCCTTTCCATGGGCAGCTTTAGGTAATGGCCACGTAGACCCTCAGGATGTTGGTACTGCCTTCAAGTTTGCCATCCAGATACAATGATTAACTCCACGATTCATTGCATCTCTGGCAGTCTCAGCATAGACCCAGAATTAAATGGTAAGAGGTAAACTTGCTGTGGCTCTGCCTACGTTGTAGTCATTTTCCAGCCAAATATGGTGTCCTTCACCATGACTATCAACCAAACTTGTCAGGTCTCATTCAATGTTTGTTTCCAGTTGTATTTGCTGTTCTGATGTTCTGGGTGTGGTTTTTGTTTTGTTTTGTTTTTTTTTCTTCCTGCTCTCCGTCCTCCAGAAGTACTCAGCAAATCACAACACTCCTTTCCCCTCAGACCTTGCATTCCTGTCAGAACAAGTGGCTGCTGCCTGTGGGTTCCGTGGTTTCCAAGCCCAAGCAGGGATCTTGAACTACTATCACTTTGACTCTTCTCTGGGAATTCATGTGGATGAGTCTGAACTAGACCATTCTTGGCCTCTTTTATCATTCAGGTGAGCCAAGGAGAGCACTTGAGTGTTGGGAGAGGATTGGTGGCTCTTTTTCTATGGTTGCATATGGTTATAGGAAGTCGGTATGATGTCATTTGCTAACGGGGTATATAATCTTCACTCTCTGAAGATTTGAATGGGAGGAGCCTGTAGCTCAAGGGCGTAGGTTTTTCTTTGCAGACTGCTTGAATAGCATGGATGTGGCGTCTGGAGTGGAAGAGCTCTTTGCACAGAGCACAGTTCTGTCCTAAAGCCGCAGAGCAGCAATTGGGTACTAGCAGGCAAGGATGAAATAGCTCAGCAGAGCTTCAAAGCTGACAGGGCAACGGCTCACACAATGCCTACCTTGAACCAGGCCTCTCAGTCTGTTTCCCCTGTCTTTCTTCTAAAGTTGCTACTAGGAGTCCATCTGGTTTTGGGGGTTTTCTTTGTTTTTAAATAAAGGGATTTAGCTGCTAATGTTTTCTGTATATATAGTTGTTTTCTACCTAAATTTGTTTTCTCTTCTCTCTCTATCCTCATACCCTCTTTAGTTTTGGGCAATCCTCAATATTTTTGCTTGGAGGCCTGAAGCGGGAGGAGGCCCCGACAGCAATGTTCATGCACAGTGGCGATATCATGGTGATGTCTGGCTTCAGCCGTCTGCTGTACCATGCTGTCCCCCGGGTCCTCCCCAACCCTGAAGGGACAGCTTTGCCTTCGTGCCTGGACCAAGCGCTTCCTTCAGACCTTCCTGGTGGCTCAGTCATTGAGCACAGCTCTGATGAGGACTGGCAGGTCTGTGCCAAGTACTTGCAGTGTTCCCGCATTAATATGACTATTCGGCAGGTGCTGGCTGAGGGTCAGAAATTTCCAGAGGAATCTGGGACAAACGGGAAGGGCCAAACACCCTCTGCAGACAGTCACCCTCAGGAGAACAGCAGAGCCAAGAGACATAAACCAGATACAGACAGCTGAGACTGACATGGACTGGACAGGCAACCTCCATATGGAATTGGGAACTGATGTAATCATACTGGAAGTCACTTGTCTATATTGGGATTAATAAAATTCTGCAGAATAAATGTAGTCCTTCTTGCTGTATGAGGTAGGTTGGGGGAGAAGAAGAATTTCAAAGGATAAGAAAGGTAAGTTCAGGGCTGGGAGTCTGGAGATGAACTCTGCTGCCGTTTTGTTGCGGACTTTTACTGTACTCAGTTCCCTTTAAAACATCTGTATGTCAGGGAATGTTAAGCTTGGTTCAGTGATTCTCAGAAAGTATTTTGAAATACTGAAAGTGTTCAGAAAATTTTGACAGAAGATACATAATTGCTGTGTGGTAAAGAATCCCATTGGGCTTGCAGAGCTCAGCTGAAGTGCAGTAGCAAGTGTGAATGAGAATAGGCTGCTCTGGGTGTGAGACCCACCTGCACCATTTCCAAGAGCATTACCTCTACAGCAGACTGGTTCAGTGATCAGAAACTAGCAGCTCCCTCGAGCAGCCCCTGCTGTAAGCGTGCTGGAGTCCTGTGCTCACCTTCTGCCTGCTTGCATCCCCTCAGCTGCAGCAGAAACTGCTCTTCTGAGTGGAACTGGACTTCTTTTGCATACCTCTGATTTTAGAGAGAAACAACTAGGGGCAATATCTGCTTAGAATATCTAGTAGCTCCCAGCTGGGCCTCCTCCCAGCAGTATGTGACTGAGCCCTACATCCCCTTTCTTTCAAAACTGCCCCCTCTTAAGTGCCTGCAGATTATGGCCCTCCAATCCCAAGCCAGCATCTTTTAAGGAACAGAATGACTTGCAAGGAGAAGCAATGAAGTTGTAAATTAAGTACCTAAAAAATTAATCAGTGACTATCTCTGTCACCCAGAGATAAATATATTGAAACAAAGAAAAGCACTAGCTTTTGTGCCAGTTCTCTTTAAGACTCAGGCCTTCCTATCTGCTTTTTAATGCAATTTTAATTGTTGGAGTGGAATGCACTATCCCTGGGGTATTTTGTTGCACTTTCCCAATGAATAAACTTACTCAGTTTTTAAATTAAAGATCTCTATCAGTTTTGGGCTGGCTTTTTTCTTCTTCTCGTTTTCTCCCTGTTAGTTATTTCAGTGTATTGTTAATGCTGCCGCATCCCTTGTGCTGCTCCCTCCGGGCTTCTTTTGGATCTACTGCCTCTACCATCTGCCAGCTCCAGTGGAGGGGCACTGCATCTGTCTGCGGGGCTGCTTTGCTTATGGGCAGTTCGGGGTTTGTCGGGCAGTTTCAGAGAGGTGTTGCCTGCAGTATCAAAGTCCAATTTAGTATGTATGTGGCAGCTTTTCCTCATGGGGAAAGCATCTGGTCTGCTTATTTCATAGCAGCTGAACGTGTGTATGTCTACAATTAATTCCTTTTATAGTACTGCAAAGAACTCCAGTACTTGAATGTCTAAAATAATCAGATGTGGGTTTTAATATCTTCTTCTATGCCAGAAATGTGTCCTTTCTGAATCCTCGGCCTGGCGTATTTACAGCTTAGCGCTGGCAGAGTGAATGCTCATGCAGAGAGGTTATGACATGACCAGAAAGGAAAGTTCACAGAGTCAGTCTCGGAACAGCAAAGCTCCCTTAGTGGCACCTGAAGGTGGGGAAGGGGAAAGGAACATTTGTTTTCGTGATGGTGAGAAGGCAGACTGTTCTTTGCTCGTGAGAGGGAAGTAAAAATCTGCCAACTCACTCAGCACTGAGGATGGAGGAGAGTCATGGACCTGGATGGTCATGAACTGGAGCTGGTTTCTTCATGTCACAGGCTGAGGTGTAAGTCCATGGTTCTCATTTCTTATGTCTTCAGTTCCGTACAAATATGTAACAAACGACCAGCCATGATTTATTCCAGGATTCAATTGTTCCTGTGATTCAAGGACAAGAAACCATACTGTTTAGCCTCTGCAGTCTGAAATTGTAGTAAATGCTGCAAACTACTGATAGCAATTGGTCACGGGAAGTATTCAGCCCAATGAAGCCTTGTGGTTAGATGTGACTGAGTTGAGAATTTGCTCAGTTACTGACCCATGGTGAAGCTTCTTACCTATGCCAGTGTGAGGGGCAGCCCTGATCTCATTCCATATCAGGCGCCTAGAAAATGAGAAGTCCATGACCCAGAAGTGGACATGTGGGAAATGACCAGGGCGGGAGGGAGGGGAGGTGCGGGAGTAAGTCATCCATGTACAAGGAGGAACAAGTATCCGAAGGGAGAATTTCCTGAACTGCTAGCCTAGCAGGAGCATCGGTTCTGTGACCACAGAAGAGTGGAATACAAATGAGCCAACTGCAGGACTTCTGTGGGCTCTGCAAGCTGTGCTTCCAGAACCTGATTTCAAAGAGGCAGCAACAGCCTGGGCAGAAGGTGGGGAATGGGACTGCATCCAATGATACACTGTTAGTTTTCCTTCTAGGACAAAACGACTGGGAACCATTGACCCACTCTGTGTAGCTCTCAGGCTGTGACACTGCAACTCCTTTGTTTAGGTTTGTGATTTTTCATAGCACTGATCCAATTATTGTATCTATAGGTACCACATATCTTTACTTGTGTTCATATAGGTGCACACTGAGATAATCTCTGTAGCTTTTAATCCTAAAGAAGTACTGCCCAAGGGCCACAGGCACAAAATTACATCTGAGGGAGCAGCCTTCTAGGATGTCCTGCTGTGCACAGCTGAAGGGAGGGAAAGAAAAGGTGGTCCGGACAAATTCTGCAAGAAAATTAATGTACTGAGTTGATTAAAGGAAGACAATTGTCTGTATTTCAAGGCCACCTGGAAATGAAGCATGTTGTTTACCACATGTACTCCGTTTGTGATATGATCTATAGGTCAAGCTAACTGTCCAACAGAGAATACAATTACTGATTTTTTTTTTTTTTTATAGTCAAGAGAAAAGGGAAATAAAATCTCCAGTTAAATCAGAATCAAAGCACAGTGAGCTGAATATTGGAAGCAGAAGAGGAAACTGTCTGTACAAACATAATTTTCAGTCCTCTTGAGATAGCTGTGCTAGGGAAGTTCAGGGTTACAAACCAGACTGCTGGCTAGTGCCGAGACAGATTTACTGCATGCCCTCTAGGCAGCAACTTATGGGAAAAGCAGTCCCTAGAGCTGTGTCTGCTGCCGGAATGATTCTCATCTGAAATATTTTTCCTTTCTTTCAGAGCTTGTTGGCATTTTTCCCTCACCGTTCCACATCAGCTATTTCTACAAATAGTAGTAAGGTGCACCTAAGCTTCTCTACTTCTGCCACATGCTCTGCTGAGCTAGTAGGCAGGGAGAAGCTAGCAGCTAAGGAAGAAGGTGGTAGGTAGGGAAGATGCAGACAGCACCACAGTGTCTTCCTGCCATGACTATGGGTCCAGGTTGAAGCCAGCTTGCACCTTACAGAGTGCAGATGAGAGCTTAGATCTGTCTTCATCTGTTCATGAAAGTCATTGTCATTCTCTGCATCACACCTGGAGCAGGACAGATTTAACACAGAAGAGAGACTGTTGGTGACAAGACTGTCTTCCACTTAATTGGGATGCAAAATTAATTGAGCTATAATTCAGTGTGCTCTACATACTTTAGTTCTGATGAAATCATAAAACTTGCCTCGGTTTGAACACATTACTGCAAAAAGTTAACAGAAATACATGGACTGCAGAAATTAATGATCCAGAAAAAGTAAGTTGCTGGAGGCCTCAAAAGACCCATATATAAAAGGCCCCTTTTTTGGATAATGTCTATGCAAGAAGAGACTTAGAGAGAAAATGAGGGACAGCCATCCCCAGTCTTCTGATGCCTCTCTAAATCCTAATAACCAAAGCTAGCTGAAAACAATCTACCATAAACTTACAGATTTATACAAGAGGCACAAGCTGTGGCTGATACAAGTAAAAAATAAGTCCTGCTGTTTAAATTTGGCAAAGGACAATCACAAATACCTTAATAAACCCATTTTTCTATACAAAGAATTGATCAGTGACTAAAAACGTGTTCACCTACACTCTGGTAAAGTTGAGATACAAGTTGCTACTGTGCAAGTTACAGCTTGGCTCATACACACCATTTCCTTGCATCATCTCCTGATGCAAAGGACCACAGAAACGGTGGTTGAAGGGACCCCTGGAGGTGTATAGTCCAGCTTCCACCTAGGAACACTGCTGTTGCCAATGGGCTCCCCATGTGGGATCGGAAACCTTCCATGTTTGAGACCACTGTTTATTTTGGTAACCTGTGCTGGTACTGCCCTACTCACCTTTTGAAGAAATTATGTCCTGTCTGGGTTTCCCAAAATACAACTTGTAATCATTCCCTCTGCCTTTTTCTTCCCTTCTGTTCCACCAGGAGTTTGTTTCCACTGTCTTTGTAACTCTCCTTAAAATAACCGAAGTGTACAGTTAGATCCACCCCTCCTTAGTCTCCCCTGTGCCACATGGAAGGAACACAGCACGCACATTTTCCCAAAGATCATGTGTCCTGGGACTCTGACTCTCCTCACAAGCCCTCCTCAGCACCTTTTCCTGCTGCAGGTGGTACACCACTCTCCCTGCTAGTGCTGGTTTCTGTTACAAACAGGATGCCAACAACAAATGGACTACTGAATTCTAGTCCCTAAACCTGCTAGATCCACTCAAATCCACTGGACCTTAGGCTGTGGGGTTTGGGTTTTTTTACAGTGTTTCCTAAATGAATTTTTTTCCTCCCATTTACATCACAGTAAAAGAAAAGTAGTAGTTTTGTAAGGTGCAGAATGAATGTACCGTGATTCCCTGGGGAGTTACATTCCTGAAAAGTTGTGAGCTCTCACTGAAGCTTTTCGTCCGGCTGAGCATTTACAAGTGATTTTTCCCATGTGATCTCTCCAGTGTTTAATACATGCACGGTGTGCCCTTTTCCCAAATCAGAGTATTTATAGGGTCCCGCTCCTCTAACTGACTACCTATTAAACCTTCAGGAACTTAAT